GTCTGGGACACATTCTTGTAGGCAGTTTTCTTTCTAGCTATGAACTTCATTGATGTCTCGGGTAACTGTCTTTATAAAATCTTTCCTTTTCAGAAAAAAGCTCAAGCCACTTCAAACGTCGGCTAGCCGTACTGGAGCGTTATTGTCGAGAAATGATAAACTGAACGATGGAGTTCGTCCTTATATTAAGGAATAAGAAAAGAATTCTATAGGCTCTTCAGAGTTGCCTCGAACGACACAATATCCGTTTTTTAATAAATTTTTACAAATAATTCGATTTTTTTCTAGTGTTCCATTCATGCATTCGTTGCAACGATTTCTGATATTATGACCGGCCAATTTACAGCAATCTGTACGAACCACAAGAGGTGTAGACTTACTTAATAGCATTTGAAGTTTGAAACAAGGAAGGAATAATACCTTGGCTGTGATTAAGATCTGAAAGGATTCAGAGGGGTCGTGGGGTGCTCACTGGTACGCCAGTGGCGAAAAAAGAGAAATCCGTCAAGAAAACGCAAAACGGGACCCCCTCCTGTTTGGCCGTTGATTTTCGCTCATGGGCGGGCAACAGCTCAAACAGCGGACGTATGAACGAGTTTACGGCAACGCGTTTGGTGGCATCATGCCTAATAACGCCCTATCCAGGTGCGTCGCTGCTGACAATACAGCTCGTTCCAAATCGCCAACCAAACTGGTGGTTGAAGCACTTAAAAGGCAGGGCACTTTCCAAGTACTGCTCAGAAAGCAGCTCACCTCGCCGTGAAAGTACCACTCCTCGCTTCCTTGACAGCCAACTAACTGCTTCTGCGGCGCATCTTGTATACTTCCCCGTTGCACCTTCTTTATAGTTACCGCTTTCTTTCAGCAGCTTGCCTTCACATAAAGGATAAAGCATTTGCCGTTGATCAATCCCTTTTTGGGATGCGGCACGCATTCTACTTCCATTTGTACATTCGTAGTGGCGTTTGAATGCGATGTGGCCTATAATGACTTGCGGGGCCAGCCGATGTACAAGTCAGTGTTTTTATCCTCCCAGACAAGTCTGGTACCAATTAACCGACCCCGGAGGGATGGAAGGCTTGGTTGGCCCGGGCGACTCACGACCCAGGATTTGATCCCCGGACCGCTCGCGTGGTAAGCGCGCCACTTGCCACTACACCACTTCCGCCCTGTCTTCACGTAGTGAGGTAGAACGTTTCATCACAGTTCTAAAAGATTTGTCGGCGAAGTCTGCCGCTGACGTAGGAAAAATTGATTGATCTGCCACTTATTGTTAATGGGCTTTGGTAATCCTTCCTCCTGTCTACACTCCTTCCCTGAAAAGCTCACGGTGATCTATGAAGTGCACGTAACTTTGGTTTCAAATACAACAGCCGAACCACAAAACTCATTTGATTATAGTTTGACTCCTTTTTAAAATTGACAGAATACACAATTTTTTCAAATTCTAAGAAAACTTCCCTTTCCCTGTTTCCTCTTCTCGTTGCTTTCATAAATACAATATGAGTATTACCAAAGATCATTTCCCCAACATAGGAAGCCGACGGGAACCTCCTTCAAGACCGCAAATCTAGAGATTTATTCAAAATCCGAGTTGAGCTACAAAATGTTCACGGTCATATAAAAAAGGTACGGATCGATGGAAAGTGTACGCGATTAATGAAGAATTGAATTGAAAAATGACCGTATTACTCAAAAAAGTCAAACTTTGATTTAGGTCCACGTCCACCTTAAAGTTGAAATAGTTTATATCCCACTTCTTTTGAATAGCTAAATAATTGCAACGTCACACAATTTCACCTTACATAAATCTTAGGATTACCTTCTGTTCCGTGATGTTAACGATGTTTTGATGCATCTCTGGTCAACATGTTTTCAGGGCAGCATTGTAACACGTCCAGCTTCGCGGCGGCTGATAATCGCTGTTTTCATTCATTAGCTCGAAGACATTTCGTTCTGCCCTTCACGTAGCGCTAATTTCTTCCCGAGTTTCTTCACCGTTACGTATTTTCTTTGAGATTGGTGTTCTGCCAGGAGACTAAGAAATATTGGAGTTTTGTAGAGAAGGGTATACCACAGGTGTAGTAAAAAATCGAAGAAGAGCATTGCCCGAATAATCCTGCGCAATCCAACTCTTATATCTCCTTAATTCTACGTTTTATGATTGTGCTTCAGGTTTTCCTTCGTCAGGCTGAATTTAAGAAACGCTATCGTGTTTTGTTGGGCGGAAAAACCGAATAATCAGACCGTACCCGGGAAACATATATGAAACTAATTTTGTTTTTTTTTTCTAGCAGAAAACACTTTGATTCCATTGAGCATGCACGGAGAATATAGCGCTAACCTTTTCCAAACATGAGGTTTGAAGTATTCCAAGGGCAATTTTTCAAAAAAATTTGGACATAACCTTTCAATTTCAATTGATTAAATCGTTACTCTCGTTCAAATACTTTGTACGTTTTTCGCGGCTGCACACGAACCCCTCGTAAGCAGGCTTAGCAAGGATGCGATGCTCGCCTGCCGTTTAACGCAACAGCATACGAGAGCGTTTCTGCATAAGTAGAATTGTGCGCCGAAGGGTTTCTTTGCGCTGTGCTACTATGTGACGCAGTAACAACACGAAGTAGGAATTGTACAGGCCCGAAAAAGGTTTCTACCATTTAGTTAGCTGATCGCTTTTCGGAGTTCTGCCCATATTTTAACGATTAAAATGTCCCTTACGATTCGATCCGGGCGGAAGTGGTGTAGTGGCAAGTGGCACGCTCACCACGCGAGCGGTCCGGGGATCAAATCCTGGGTCGTGAGTCGCCCGGGCCAACCAAGCCTTCCATCCCTCCGGGGTCGGTTAATTGGTACCAGACTTGTCTGGGAGGATAAAAACACTGACTTGTACATCGGCTGGCCCCGCAAGTCATTGTACAGGCCACATCGCATTAAAATTATGAGGACCCGTGCGCGCGCAGTCATATCCACTTTTTTCCGTATCGCTCCATTTTCATCTCGTTTTCTGTGCACTATGTGAGAGGTACATTGTCTTCTTCCTAATGAAACCAAATTTCATGAAGTTCTCAAAACTAGTGAAATAACTACTTCACTTTAAGTCAGTCCTCAAATTGAACTCACTAGGGCTTCTGGCACGTTACATCTAACGGCAGTCTAAAGTATCAACGGATAGCTCTTATAGCCAACGTTCAACCTTCATAAGTTGAACTCACGCAGATGGTACAACGGAGACTTGGAGTGTACAGATACTCAAGATACCAGGATAATATCAGATGAGAAAACTAAGGCTCACCTTGTAACCTCGACTCCGAACAATGAAAAATCCGATGAAAACCAGGCCGGGCAACTCTAAAGATCAGTGATAGAAAGCCACTGATTGTCTACTTGAGACTTTTTAGCACGGACTGAGATCCGAGCATAAAAAGCAAAAATTTCTCCAAAACCGACTTTGCCAAGTCATTGTTTCATGCCATTGTTACAATGGATTTTTCAGCTATAGCTCTAGATTTGTATTTTATACACAATGAGACATGGGTAAATGAATGCCCCACAAAACGTTCCCCTGAAGAAAGCAGAGCAGAAGGCCTGGAAACATTTTGACACGCCTCAGTTGCGTGCCACCGCACGCGCCACCCCCTTCGTCTGAAGGCTCGTGTAAACGCGGCAGGTGGCAGATCTCAATTCTATTCTGGAATTACTTTGAGATAAGAGTTACAAACACTTCCCTGTAAGTTTGTTTGTTCCATCAAGCTACTATGCGTTTTTAACGACACAATGTCTTGGTCCTCATAATTTTGGACCACCCTGTACATGGCCACATCGATTCAAACGGCACTACGAATAGACAAATGAAAGCAGAATGCGTGCCGCATCCCAAAAAGGGATTGATCAACGACAAGTGCTTTATCCTTTCGCCTCTATCCGGCCGATCTCTGCATCCTCTTGAGTAATAGTGTGATTGTTCTGGTAGGGTCATACATTTGACATTTTTTCAAAAATTTAATGACCATTTTCCCGCGGACGACCTCGTTACCTAGTCAGACCTTCTTTCCCAGCTTTTAAGTATTTGAATTATTCTCAGTGTTTCTCTCGCGAATTCGTGTCCTTTACCCCTTTGTCCAGTGCTTCGGCGAGAACGTGCATAACAGCGTCGAGTTTTTTGACGTGTAATACTCCACCGCAGAGCAAGCAAGCAAATGCCATCTATCAAAGTGTGAGGGGATCGCGAGCTTTTGAGTATCATCAGAATCCTCAAAAGCTCGAAAGTTATTGGAATAATCATCAAGCACGCTAATAAACTTTAGAATGTTTTTCGGTCAGCTAAATATAAGACATTTATACGTACAGTTTGTGTGCCAGAGCTTCGATAAAAATTTCTGCCTGTTTTGAATAAAAGTAAACTGTATAAATGTTCACGGGATGAAGTAAGATAACACGGGTTGTTAAAAACCCAAGAAAAATAGAAGAAAGAATCGCACTTCACAATAAGCAAACATCGGTACCTGGGCCCGTTTGACGTGCGTACCATGTGGTCACTGTTAATGTGTTTAGAAGTGAAAGCAGATGTGCAAGTCTGTTGGCTCATAACTGAATTTCCTATAGAGCTGGGTATCATCCGGGCAAGTACTTCAAGTATATTCCCTAAATGTGATAGCCCTCTCAGAGGAAGGCCGAGGTGCATTCAATCCGCTGTGATCTTTTCGTGGCGGAACAGGGGAACATTGTACATCACCCACCTAAAAAAAGTCGTAAAAAATTCGCTGAAAATCGCATTTGATGACAGAGAAACCGTGTGTTTAATCGTGAGCTCATATATATAGCCCAGCACACCTGCCCTCATATACGATTAAGGAATAGAGATACTCCCCGAAAAATTTCACAGTTGGGAGCACCCAGTTTTATTCTACGACGTGTAAACCTCAGACATCGATATTTACCAGAATCCACATCATAAATGAATATTGCAAAAAAAAAACGATATAACGCTTTGTGCTCATTTTCGTGAACACCATGAAGGCTTGTCTTCAAATCGAAATGAATACAACTCTGAGTAAAGTGCTATCCAGCGCTATTTAGGTGAAAGAAGTCTGCAACACCTTTTCTCCATTTTGACTTTTAATTCTTTTTTGTTTACAACTCTTGACCGGTCATACATCTACCATGAGTGTCCACCATTTGTCTTCAACGCTTAGAAAATTTCTCGACGCCCTCTTTCAAAAACCCAGGGAGTGCGGGTCGAGAAAGGAGGCGACCTCACTTTTGAGTTGGAGTTGAATCGTATAACATGTCGTTGCTGGTGTATCAGCCAGTGGATGGTTTAAGTTCAAGATAGGTGCAGTCAGTAAGCTCGACCACGGCATACCTCAGAGAGGTAAAATCTCTTGCCAGCAATCTACAGCTTTCTTGCCGGGTTCATTTCTGATCCCTGATGATTTGCATTCATGAAATAAATAAATATGTCGCCTTACGAGGGCCGACGAAGCTGCTTCGGCCTTTTGAATCCCACCCTAAACCTTACTACACGTGGTCTCCATAATAAGCATCGTAGTTTGAGCTTCCATAAAAGCCCTTCCTGTCATGGTTTGTGTAGGTGCTGATAGATTCTTATAAAAATATCAAAAGATCGGAAGCGCTGGTAAAGGTGAAACACTGTAGCGCTGAACGGCATGCCATTAGAAGCTATTGCAGATAGTGTCAGTCGTTGACACGAATCCATGGTTTTGTAGACATTTGTACTAGACAGTGACTCGGAGTACGGATTTGCTAGTGGTCCGAGGTTCAAGGCGATTGGCGTTACACTAAAGTGCATCTTATACTAAAACACTGATGGTGATTGATGAACGCTTTTCAATGACATAGTTTCCTGAGTCGCGAAATTCGTAATTTTTCAAACCGGCCCGATGCTTTCAACATTTTAATCTGAAAATCAAAGCAAAACGACTTCCTCGTTACCACTGACAGATGTTATCCTATGAGAAGGAATATACTCGACGTATCCGTATATCGACCTTTTGAGACGGCTCGCATAGAATGCGCCACAGATGGTGCAAAAAAGTTAGGAAAGGAAGAAAAAAGGCGTTATGACAGGATACGTGGCATCTCCTATGACTGAGTCTAAGAGGGGGCAGGAACTTTGCAAAAAAATGAATGTTGTTCACGCACCCTTTAGTTTCTCTTACCCCGTCTTCAGACTAACCCCGATTTTAAGAGGATTGTTTTACACTGTTTTAAGTGCATTGTCACCACAATGGCTCCGTATATTGTGTTGGCTCCAAAAGAAAAGTATGCTTCATGGGATTTTTCCCATACACAGCCTGCCTTTTTTACGTGCTGGCCTCGTTCGAAGGCGGTGGAACCTGGGATTAAGAAATATTTATTAAGCATTCATTGCAGATGCGTCTCATTATCCTTACATTCACGCTTGTATGCACGGCAACGGCGTTGACATGCTATGAAGGAGTATTGGAAGGCCTCTCAAACAATACACGGACGGAGGAAAAGGTTTTACAATTTTTCCCATATTGCAGTTCTAGGTGCTATGGCAATATGCGAGGGCATCCCCTAGGACTTAGCTTAGGAGGGGGTAGAAGCTCCGGGAAAAATAAAAATGGCTAACGCACATTAGAGTCTCTCCTTCCCTGAATAAGGCTTAGTCTCTTTTTTAACAGAAAAGAAATGTTTTACGCGCTTTAAATGCATCGACATAACAACGCACCCGTATATTGCGATAGCATCCATTTGCAGTACATGCTTTTCCAGTCATAAAAGGAAATTAGTAAGTATCGTCCTCCCTCTGATAAAATGCCCCGAGCAAACCTTTGCGTAAAACATAGTTAATTGCACAGAACAATCAAAAAGTGTCAAATCTTCTTAAAAAGCTCCCAAGTCCAATTGGTAGGTTTCGTAAAGTAGTTGTGAGTTCAAAATATACGTGCAATACATAACGTGTTATGCTTGCAGCACTGCAGTGGTATTTCGAACTACTGTATCCAGAAGATCGACAAGAGAAAGAATCAAATCATTCGTGAATGCAGCTCCTTCACAGATGAGCACAATATGGAGGAGAAATGTCCGGTAACTTTTACGACTTTTTCGCGGCTTTTTCCATGATTACGCTGTCATGCTAAATATGCTGTGGCTTACACGTACAGGGCATACCGTAATTCCTGAACTTGGGTAACACTACATAATACTAAAGCTTCTCTTCAACTATTCCCAGTTGACCAAGTGGAAACCACCTTTGTTGAAATTTAGGTGTTAAAGGAGGCTTAAACGGCAAGGCTGCATTTCGGAAAAGGGGAAATCGCCTAGTGAAGGCAGGCGTGTCCGTTGAAGAGGCGGGTACTACAGAGCTTCGCATTGAAGCGTATATCCTCAGCAGCCTAGCAGGGCCACTCATGCGCCGCTCGAACATTCGCTCGCCCACGCCTCCTCTGACTGTAGCCATTCAGAAAGAGAGCTTTGACATTGAAGAGAACGGCATTGATGAGAGTCTTATCAAAAAGGAAATCAACAGGCAAGCAAGGGGGTCCTTTCTGTCAAGCTCGCATGGTTTTTTCTTCATCCCTGGGCCTCTGACCACCTCTACCTTGATTTTTAACGAGCTGATATTTCAACGTGAATTTTGCTTTTAACTCGTCCACACTTTGAGGGAACTTCGCCTTTGGACTTTTTTATCGCGTGGGAGTGTACGAGCGCTACCACCCAAGCTCGCATCCGCGGTGCACATACACATACACATAAGGTGAATGGTGCCAAATGATTTTGTAAAATGCCAGTAAGCTGCACTCATTCGGAGGCAATACACGATCAGGAAGTGACATTAAAATTTTGACGAAAAGGTCGTCTGAATGGATTGAGATAAGTTTTACTTTACTCTCGATGAATGGACCGTCGAAAGCTTTTTGATGTGAGGTCCTGAAAAGAATGTTCCTGCCATTGTAGGTTAAAGCTGCCTCTTTCCAATTTCCTTTTTTTCTTATGGAATAAAAAGAAAATGGGTAATGAACCGACCAAAAAAGTCGTGTCTTGAAACCTCTGAAACTGAAGCCATATTTGACCATTGGGTGGAGACCTGCGTCGTTTATAGTCAGTGTATGGTGTGAATCTCAGGATGGAATGCACAAATCAGAAAAAAGTTGCGAATTCTGCCGAAAATAGCCGGCCGTGGGATGCGAGGCATAACTCGCGTCGCGTGTCCTTAGGCGCTTGGAGGAATTTGTGCCCAATAAATGAGTATTCTTGACAAATCTTAGCGCGAGTTTCCTGCACACGCCTTTTTTTACGGCCAACTGTTGTTCATTGAAAGTGTACATTATAAAGCGTAACATCAGATGAGTGGATGCCACTGGCAGTCGGCTTACGAGACCTACTGTTGCTGTCAGTTCGACCACTGCAATGAATGGAAATCCGAGTTAGTGCTCTCTTTCACAATTACTCATATCGAAAGTCATGGCACCATGATTACCGTGTTAAATTAAAAGTAGCTAAAAATAATGCGTAGTATTTAATAGCGTCAATTAAATTCAAAGTAGTAATCAAAAATTACCACTATTACTGCTTCTTTCTGAGCAGTCTTCTTATTTACACCATTAATTAAAATTAAGAGACAGAATTTTGTTTTTGATTCGTTTATCCCCACTTTACGGGGGACATACTGGATCTCATGTTAGCTCGTGTCTGGCCTGATCCCGCATCTGTGCTTCACAATTGCTTAGCTGCCTGCTGCCAAAATGATCGGACGTGATCAAATGAGTTTCCAGAATCCTATAACACGTTGACGACACGCGCGTTTTGGGTTTTTGCACCGCGTGGGACCACGGCGATTTTGCAGGCGCCGCCGCCTCACATAAAATCCGTGAATTTTGAGCTTTACATGCGCCCTAAAAGCTTTAAACTCGGATACAACAAAATGTTTCGAATGATATTCGATGTGTCAGATTTATCAGAAGGAACAACTGTAAAAGTTCGGTCGAATTGACGTTTTCTGGCAATGAAAAGGCAAGTTTCAGTTGCTTTTGCTGTAGTGAACCTCAAAATTATTTCTGACACGGTTGCTCCTAAAAACATATATCTTGCTATATGTGTAGGTCTGTACTTACTTTACTACTCTTTTTTATGACCAAGGTTGTCAGAATACAAAGAATCTAGGAATGAACACAATTGGGAAATTCGTAGGACTTGGAAAACCTTTGCTAAAAAGGAGCATATTCCCATCGATGAACCTCGCCGTGTCTAGTCATATTATGGTGTGGTCTATAGAATAGATGCAAAAAATTAGAAAAGAAGTAGCGCATGCGCGAAAAAAATAATAATTTGTGTGTGCAGCGCATGCGCACACGGTCCCAAGTGTGAAGCGCATGCGCTGCACAATGTAGTCAACGTGTTATACCTTTTTGCTAATGTATTTAGTTAAAAACTACACTTGATGTCTGCCACTGATTTCTGAAAAGCATTTACTTGTGTTTCAGTGGCACCGCATACAAGAAGGGCGAAACAGTTCCACTCAGCTCCTTGTCCAAATCCGGAGCTTCGTCGATACCGTCTGCTGCGGAAAAGCCTTGGAGGGAGCCAGTCGTGTCGGAATCGCCAAGAACTGTCAACTATCCAAAGATACCAACCAGTCCACGAACTCCAGCTGCTCGGAACGACGAGATCCGTTTGGATTAGAACACAAAGTGTCTTCTATGCTCAGTTTAGTGCGTTCAATGAAGATTTGATTGCAAAAATTCACTTTGGAAGTGCTACAAAAGCCAGTCATGACTCTGAAGAGTAACAAGGAAATCCCAGGTCGTCGTAGTCATTCAAGAAGGAATATGTACATACGCCTTAGATGTGCCTTTGAACGCTGATCTCGAATCAGGGTCAACGTGCGTTGCGCAGACTTCAGAATTTTTGCGACCCCCTCCCTTTCTGAGGACATCAGTACGACCCTCCCCCTGAATTTTTGTCCTGCTGAAATAAGAATAACTCCTCTGGGATCGGGGAACAGTCTTACAATTAGGCCGGTGTAAGACCTTGCGGCTATTCGCTAGCGAATCAAGCGGAGCCCCAGCGGTTTGAGCAATGTACCAGCTACGCGACAGTTTTCAAAAGTGGCGAGAGCTTGTACCCCGCGATTCGCTGGCGAGTCGCCGGATTCCCAAAGTATAACATTGCCCTAAACTCAGATTAATACGAGTTCTACAAATTCAGTCCACGACAGACCAAAATCCAGTCAACAATTTAAGTTATTACTTGAGCTATCACAAGAATGCTGTGTCATGGTCAAAACACTTGCTCCAGGTGAGGAAAAGGACCCGCACACAAATTTTGAAATTCATGAATCGATAATTATGAATTGCTATTGGGTTCGCGTAAGAATTGGGAGTGTGCGCAAGTTCTGGAGTGTAAAGACCTCCGATTCCATAGAATATCTTCTTGTTTCCAACTTCCTTAAAATTTCAGGAAACGGCGCTCATGTCTTCGGGAGGGGGAAGGGGGCTCATTCAAGTAGGTGAACCTATTATAGTACCTATTGGAACTAAGCTTTAGGGAGGGGGAGGGTTCTGGGGGAGCATGTTGACAATAGCAATTCTTGTTCTTCCTGACTTTCCTCCCCTCTTTTGGGCTTGGTCCTAGTGTGACCTGCCTGCGGGTTTTGCACCCTTTTTTGAATGCCCCCCCCCCCAAAGGACATGAGCTCTCAAGAAATATATGGGTTTCAATAAAGGTATTAATCTTCGTGTTCGTATGCGAGAAGAGGAAATGACGCACTGTGATGTTCTCCGTTCGAACATCAGCGATAACATCAATCCAGATGTGAAGATGAAGTGAACCGATACCATTCCCATTTGGAATGGTCCGTTCTCGAATATCACGAAATGTTGTGGTCGTCTTCGTGATATCCTCACTGATCGGTTGGTTTCAGTGTTTATTCGAGGGAGTTCTTGTTCCTTCTGCTGTTCCCTATCCTTTTTGCTCCTTATTCGTTTTTTAGCCAAATAAAACTGGAAAACAAAATAATTCGGAAGTTATTCTAGGTGTAGTGTTTTTTAGTTTTATTTTAGGTGTAGCAATAATATCCACTACGAGAACCACAAGAAAAGAGCTGATCTTCGAAGAATTTGAAAAACCTCCAGAGATTAGGAGGCATTTTGGACTGACTACAACAACATCAACGGAAGCCACAACACTTCAGGCTACCACAGACACCACCCATGACTGGAAGGGTGTGCAACAAAATGGTACCTCTTTGTTTGATTTGTGAAATCTTTTCTCCATTTATTTATGACGCGGAGAATACGATTTTTTTGGATTCGTTTTTTACAGCTTTCACCAAATCCCATCCCCGCGAATTTCTTTACCTCATTCATGTCAAGTGGTCCAGATGGCAGTGATGCGATCGAGGCACATACAGGGGGGGGGGGCAATAAAAAAAGACATTTTGTCTCCAGACTCAAATGGATTTAATCACACTTTGCTCAGCTCAAAGCGTGTGCTCCCAACTTAGAATTGAAGAGCGCATTTCATTTCATAAGAAAATCATAGTGGCCATCTACGTGGACGGCATCAGAAAAGTTTGCCCCGGAAACATGGTGCTCTGGTCGAGCTCAATGGGGTTCTCGACTGATCGTGTACCGTTACGACGGGTTCCGAAGGGCGGGTTCCGAGGGGGTTTGCATAGTTAGAGCTAATGTCCCTAGGAAACTATCCCACGTTGAATCGATCCAAGAAATTATGTAAGAGCTTCAGGCTGAAGCAGTTACTGTAGGCCTCCCTGAGCTCGACGACGGTGACAGATGACGTCATATTCTGAAGACGGTGAGGGTAGTGAAGGAGGGCCTGCGTGTACTTATAGAGGGACATTTAGGGAATATTTTGCTGAGGAACTTCCGTCAACGACGGCAATCTCTGCGAAGAAAAAAGGCCGAAGTGCGACCTGGGCAAAATGTCTTTTTTTTCCCCCCCCCCTGTATACTTCTTTCCCTGGTTAACCTGTCGGAAATGTAGGCAACAGTATTACTATTAAGTATTAGTATTTTGATGATTGCAACAGAAATTGACGTCACCAATGCTTTCTGATGCTAGTGATGCTTTCGATAGCAGTGACCATCATTTACATCATTAGGGAACTGTTGAACTAAGTACACTGGTGTGCAAAGCTTATGGACGAGATAGATGAAGTAACATAACTTCCTGTCATATGCTTGCTGTACTGCGCTGTAGCAGCTCTGTGTGGTTAGGTTCACCAGAGTTATGTTACTGGTCAGTAACACGTCATGGAAAAACTACGTCCGTCTTTAAGTTTTGCACAACAGTGTAGTAGGAAGCAACATTGTGAAGGACAGCTAGCCTATGAAAACTAACAAAGTTCTAGCGGTTGTGACAGCCTGGGCTGCGATAAGCAGTGGGATAGTATGCGTATATGCGTAGATGTATTACGCTGCTGTAATATAAATGTCGCACAGATTACTTTCACCCCACTGGACAGTTTTGAATCTTTAGAGATACTTGTGTATTCATTCGAAATAGGACATCCGAGAGTATAGAAGTGACCAGTTATTGGCCATGCCATTTCGCATTCTTACTTGAAATTCCTTTTGAACGATGAGCAACCGAAATTTTGGATTACCGACTTATTGGAAAGCTGATCCAGCTTCAACAACGAATATGGCAGGCTCTTGCAAGCAAATGAGTTAACAACAACCCGCCTGATAAAAAAGCTGGCTCGCGAGAGAGCGACATATGCTTTTCGTGAAAAAAACCACCAACAAACAATGCGAGACTGGCCCTGACACAATAAGATAGCCTCTATCTCTTGTTCTGAGGTGCCTTGTTGCTGCTCCGAAATTTTTTTGAACGTCCAAAAGCGACATTTATAATGCAACAACCCAAGTTTAGTGTTCTCCACCGTCCCATAAACATTACCCTCCCTTCAAAAAGCGAGAAAGTGTCGGGTGCAGACCAAACACCACAACTGACGACGGCCTCCAAGTAAATCTGGTTAGAAGTTGTTCATAGTGATAGCTGATTTCTGGTAAATGATAGTTGTAATTAGTGACGTCGCACTGTCGTATAATGTATGCCCCGACAGTTTCCTACATTGAAGGAAGCTTCGACCCGTCTCGTCCAAAGCCTTTGCTGGTCTAATTCTAATTCTAATTCTTCTAATCTGAAGGCTTATTACGTATGCGCTTGTGAATTTGTGAACGGAGAAAACTGCATCATAGCAAAGCGTTCCACTTTTTCATCACTTGCTTGATTCTCGGTATTTCAGCACAGGACCTCAGGGAAAACAACGTATGGAAAACATTCTCTGGCATTTATGTTCAACAAGCTTACAGAGTGTCAAATAAGGAGATTCGATTCGTATATCTCGAAGAAGCTCAGAATAGGTAGTTTTATGAGTAGGCTACCGATGCTATGTACTGCATCAATTAAACTTACAAGACACATAAAACCTGGCTTTCTCACTTTTTATAGGCGAGGAATGAATGTCTTCCTGAATGGGAAATGGGTAAAAGTGAAGTCGACTTGTTTCAATGAGACATCATGCGAGGACTACCTTTACTGCACTATTGCTACCCGATTCGGATCAATCGATATTTCTACAGTAAGACACTCAATTATGGAAATAGCGCTGACTGCCGAGGGAAGCGAGGAGTACTTCAATTTCATCCGTGAAGACAGACGTCCCTTGGTGACTTTCAAACTCTCTGCCTTCTTGCCACAATCGTGAAGATGTTCAACGAGCCGATAGTACTCCTCGTCGATGTTTTCGATGACGGAATCCTCCCATAAGCTGACGAGGGAAGCGAAGTGATCCCAGTTGATGACTGTCCTGGGGCTTCGCTTCCTGAACTTCGAGGCTCTCTCAACACGCATCGAAAAGTGGAACTTTGCGCGGAGGAGACGATGGTCCGATCCCGTGTAGAACTTCGGAACAACAGCGACGTCGGTCAGGCAAAACCTTCGATTGAAGATGATGTGGTCTATCTCGTTATGGAACTGTCCATCAGGTGACTCCCAAGTCCAACGAAGGTGAGGGGGCTTTTGGAACTGTGAGTTACCATGGATGGTGTTGGTCGACATGATAAACTCCGACAGTCTCTCACCCTGCTCATTCCATTCCATTCCGTGAGTACCGATGTGAAGTTCTTCAGCCGTTCTTCTTGGGCCAATCTTAGCGTTGAAGTCGCCGACGATGACCTTGAAGAAGGTATGATCTTCCTTGTAGAACTTCTCCAATTCCATATAGAATGCTTCGTGTTCTTCTCTCGTCGTAGCTGGATGTTGGTGCGTAGGCGACGAAGATTGTCAAAGCAGGAGTTGAACCACATCTTCTCAATCTCAAACGTCCGATTCGGGTCGTAAGGCTTTCGTACGAATCGATGTTTATGGCCAAGTGCGTGTTGACGAGGACACCCACACCGCCAACGCCTCTGCTGTCGCATGTTCCAAGGAACAGTTCTTCTCCAGTATCGAAAACGGCGTGTAGCGGGCGGTGCCTTCTCGTCTCGGTCAGTCCGATGACGTCGTACTTGATCTTCCTGGCCTGCATCATCAGATCTTCGATGTGAGCTTCGGATGCAAGCGTTCGTGCGTTGAAAGTACAGATCGCCATCTTAGTCCTTCTTCGTTTAGGCAGCCTATCCGGGCCCTGAGATTCTAGCAGCCTCTCCCGAGCGGTCCTACCCAACGCTGCCGTATTGGGGGCTCCCTCAGGTTCAGGGGAATGAGGCCCATCCATATTGCTGTTTTCGGCATATTGAAGGCACACGAGTAGCTTGCCAGGCTCTGTCGTGTGGGCTAGGATAGACCTCCAGGTAGTTAGCCACGCTATCCTGGAGCGGAACAAGGGGCTTATTTCTTGGAGGCGGCCCCGAATCGCCTCCCATGTACTTCCCAGTCACTTGAATGCAAGCTTTTGGCTGTGCCGACATGCAGGATACCAACCGCACACACACAGAGCGCACCACACACGCAAGCATGCATGGATGCGCCTGAGTGGAGACAGCTGGTATGAATCAACACAGCGCTACAGAAACAGGGAGTCCATCCCCTGAATCCACCTGCGTCTCAGGGCAAGTACATGGTGGCTTTTGGTCCGCGATTTACCCCCTATCCGCCACCTGGGGTCGCGCCACGTAGCCTCGCCACCAACCGGCTCGAGATCTTTCAGTGAGAGAGAGG